TAGCTGTAAATTGCCGAAAAAGGTAATAAACAAATTATTTACCTACTTCTAAGTAATTTACCTAACCAAACCTCTCATCCTAGCCTAATATCCGGTAATACGGCCAAGTGTCGCAATGACACCTGCGCTTGACCTCATCTTCCTCATTCGCAGGTGATTACTCCACATTACCTTACGACTCTCTACCCCTCAAACCATCCTCAACTCGTACCGTAATGAGCTCCTCTCACCGTCTGCACTCCTCCTCCTCGCATTTCCTCAAAAGAAGCAGCGGCGGCGGCGGGGTAGCCCCGGCTCATACACGGTCAAGAAGATCGTGTGCGTACGACCATTGATCGAACGATCGTATTGGCATTAGGCCAAATGGCTCATAACCCATCTGTTTTGGTTCGTTCGTATGTGTTTGCGCTTTTATTCCGTTTATGACGTCGTATCTTATCGTTCTTTTGTTTCCTTTCAATGCTATGAAAACATCGTTAAATTTTTCTTCTCTTGTGCCGAATGAATATGAGCTTTTGGAACAAACTAAAATTTTGGTCTGAACCGTGTTTCTTATAATTGTGGGAGAAAATCCCAAAAATGCTATGAGGCGATTCTGTGGAATGTACCTCTACTGCTCAGTTTTCTACAATCTTTGCAGAAATTTCTCTACAAAATTTCTCTCTTTTCTTATTCTCTTATTTCTCAGTCCATTTCATTCTTTGCCTGTCTAAGAACTCACGCTGCCGGTTCTTGCCTTAATTGGCTTGACCTCAAGAAAAATTGCGATATATTTTTCAGTTTATCCTCGTTAAAGGTACATGTCAAGATTTTTACCGGGTTAAAATGTCCGAATTTCGACTTTTTCCTTATCTTCTTCCTTGCCTTGATACAAATTCACATGTAAAGGAAAAATTAACTGATATTAATTTTAAAATGCACCATTTTAAGAATCAATTGAGTTTAATAGATGTCCAAATATACCACAAAACTTTCCTTAAACTTTACAAACCATGGTCAAATTTCTGAGAATCCTTAGAAATATCTGAAGCCTCCAGTTTTATTTTGAAAAGCGAGCTATCTATGCGCTTACGACTATGGTTCTGACGTATTCACATATAACTTCTCTTGGACCTTTCACTTCGATGCTAACTTTCCTTATATCCCCAGTTTTTTCGTTTTTCCTTTTTTGGATTTTAACTCCCAATCTTACTCGTTCTGATTTTTAAGCTGTCATGTCCTCAAAACCCACATCTTCTATTCCATAGTACAGTGAAGGTTTTTACTTTTTGCAATGTCTCATACTACCAGTAAGCAGCTTTCCATACATTCCGCCTACTAATCTACCTCACTTGGTGCATCGCAGTTAAATTATGTTCTGGTCTTATTTCCGAAACTGGTTCACTTCCTACCAGAACATATTTGAAATGGAATTTTATATTGAACGCAATCATTTTCTTGCAAATGCCTCAGTTCAAGGAGGTAATGGAGTACGCCGAGTTAACCCTCACTTTCACAGGTTAGAATTAGATAGAACTTTTATTAGTGGTCTTGCTAAGTCACCTTTTCTTTAAAAGTTTGAATAAATCCAGATTTTTGAAAAGATAAAGAAATATTAAAATATGATTCATTATGTCTAAAACATTCCTTATGGAATGGATAGAATTGCTGGTGGATAGCGATTCTTTTTGTTTGTTTCATCTCATTGTTATCAGTACACATAATTAGAGGAATGATGACAATTTTATATCTTTATCTGAACTCACGATTGACATTATTCATCATTAGATTCATACTTACTTCTTTGTTGATATCATTTTTAAGTATTTTTGAATTATTTTTCCTCAGTATCTGTAATATACCCGAGATTAGTTATAAACTGGCTATTGATTGAATTTTTGCCATATATCTATGATTCAAATAATCCATACATCTAAATCAGCCTTAAAATTTGGATATTTCTTTATCTCTTGAATTAAATGAGATTATTTTATGGTCATGCGCTGTTGCTGCAAATTTTGCAAATTAGTGCACTTTCCCTTTTCCGGGGAAAGCCTTACATATTACATAGATCATCTGCTTGATAACATTCTAGATTACATCTTTGCGTGTTTTTTGTTAGAGAGCAGGAGTAATGAAAGGAATTCGGAAGCGCTATTTGTTACAAGACCAGGATCTTTTCTTCTATCAGTCAGTGCTTATTATCATTGCTAAATGGGTATGTTGTACTTTTATATCACTGGAATCATCTTTTTAATTTTTAACGGATTTATTGAATTTTGTGAAAACTTTGAAATGTCGTGGAAAATTCTGTGTAAACATAATAAAAAGCATAAGAATACAAACCACTAGTCGGAAAATAGGATTTTCTGAAGCGATAACTCCAAAAAAACACTTTAAAACTCCAGAGCATTTTTTTAAACTTACATCTATCTCATTATTCGTTGCTTTCTTCCGTAACAACTGTCTCGTTGTGAATTGCATCTAGCTCTTTTTATTATTTGGTAATTTACATAATATTAAAGATATCGCAATTTATGGTCAAAAAGCATTGGAGGAAAATGCAGATTTTATCACAAAAATTCAAAGCTCTCAATAGACTTTAATGTCTCTATCAGTCTGATTAACCATAAACTTAGTAAAATCTCCGCTGTTTTTCAGGCGCAAAGTTACAGTAATTAACAAAAAGTTCAACTCCGATAATCAGCTTTAACCTAAGAAAAGGGCAATGAACAGTGTAACACAAGCCCCTCAACCTGGACCACAATATTTTTTTGGCTGCAATCCGTAGATTACTGTGAAAGCTAGCTTAAATCAGATTTTGGCTGGTCAGCATTATATATAGATGGTTACAAGCAAAAACATCTACTACATGATTTCCTATAGAATGGTATAGATGAAGAATTTTTATACTAAAATATTTTTATTCTAACTGTTCTTTTCTTAACTTTGCTAAGGTTGTTTAGCTATAATCCTTAATCCTTTC